CAGCCCCAGCCCAGCCCAGTCCCAGGCTCCAGCCCATCCACAGGCCCGTCTCTTCCCCAGCCCATCCACAGGCCCGTCTCTTCCCCAGCCCATCCCCAGGCCCGTCTCTTCCCCAACCCAGCCCCAGCCCAGCCCAGTCCCAGGCCCCAGCCCATCCCCAGGCCCGTCTCTTCCCCAGGCCCCAGCTGTTGCACTCTTTCCTGTGGACTCGTGTCTTGGCTGGGACGTGGGCGTGGCGGGTGGCCGTGTGCACGTGGGGGTGGGTTCTTGATGGCAGGCGACCCACATGGAGGTGGCCTGGTGGCATAGTGAGCTCTGCACCTATGCAGGAAGGAGCTTCCTCCACCCGAGAACAAAGACCTCGGTAGAAAAGCGTGCGCGAAGGCAGGCAACCTGACATCCAGGAAGGTTTTTGCAAAGACCTGACGTTCTTAGAGGCAGCCTGGAGATGGTGATGATGGCGATTTCTTGAGACTTTAATAAATTCCAAGAAAATGTCATTATAAAACACCTCCATGCCCAGCCGCTTCCCACAACTCTATGACAACGTGTTGTTTAGCCCTCAGTGTGTCTAAGCTGATCAGAGAAGCTAAGTAACCTGCCTGAGGACACACAGCTAGAAAATGTCATCTCAGACTCTGGTGTCAAGAATCTGGCCTCCTCCACTGTGGCCACCCCTCCTTCCTGGCCAGGGCTCTCTGGATCGCCTGAGGGAAGCCTGCTTCGGGAAAGGCTGCAAGGAAGCCTCACCTTCCTGAGATAAACACATGGAATACAGCAGCCGGGATGCGGCTGACCTCCGTCCGGGCCCAGGAGCCTCCCCTGCCGCACATGCCCACAGGATCCCGTCCACCCCCACGGCCCAGGTTCAACTCCAGCAACTCCTCACCGCTGTGCTCACAGGGCGCCTGCCCCAGACACCCCACCCCAGGGCCTTATGTCCAGCCGCCATCTCAAAGGGCCCAGTCAGCGAGGGCTCTGCCGGGCCCCGGGCCTCAGCTTCCGCTTCCACTGAGCCCCCTGGACACACGCTCTCTCACTCAGGGGTGCCTGCCCGGCTCCCTGGCGCTGGCTGCCTCCCCTCTGTGTGGTGAGCTGCTGGCTGGGGGCAGGCTGCTCACTGCTGAGCCCTGCGCCGAGGCAGGGAAACCTGTCTGGGTGACTGAGGGGCCCTGGAGCCTGGCTGGGTGTTGGATCCGTGCTGAGGAGCTGGCTCAGGATGCACAGAGAACTCCCGTGGGTTCAGGCCAGGAGTCACGGGGGGGGGGGGAGGGAAGGATGGGTGGAGAGGGCAGGTTCAAGTCTCAAGGGACACAGAGACAAGAGATGCCACCACCACCCACAGACCCCAAAGACTAAGCAGGGAGGAGCCCACAGCACATCACCCGCGCCCAGCCTGGCTGGGGCGGGCTGCCTCACGCCCCAGGCTTTGTGCAGGACCAGGGTTCCAGGAGATAAGGTGCAGGCGAGGCGGAGCAGCAAGCCCCAAAAGGGGCTGTTCAGTGCTCTGCCTTGCCTCTCTGGAGCGGCGTACGCTCTGGAAGTGGGAAGGACTGTGGCGCCCATCCAAGGATAGCATTATTTTAGTCACAAAAATAATTGGAGCTTGGCATTCGTTGTGCTTAATGATGCTTCCCTGGCTTGACAAGCTCTGTGTGTCTTCCTGTGTATGTCTGTGTGTGTGTGTGTGTATTTTTTTTCAGCTCTTGTGGGTTTTTAAATTTCTGCTTTCTTTGGCCTATTCTCCAACTCCCCAAGTAAAAAAAAAATCACTTGAAAAATAGTGATTTGTCTCTTCCAGGGCCTGCTCAGTCTGGCTGGTGGCAGAGAGAGAGAGAGAGAGAGAGAGAGGAGGGAGGGGGAGAGGGTGGGCGGTGGGCGGGCTCTGCTCCCTTCCCTTAGATACGCAAGCTGGGAGATCCCGGCTTTTATTCATGGCTGGCACCACGTGCCGGGGAGGGGGCACCTCCCCACCCTGCTCTGTGCCAGGCAGCCAGGCGGGAAGCCACATTTCCAGGCTGTCTCCTCCTCGCTGCCCTCGCCTGCGGCGGGCCGGCACAGAGCAGCCCCGAGCGGCCGGCGCCTGGGGCTGGAGCTCCATGCTCCGTGCTCGGTCCGCCGGCCCCTCAGCGCTCAGCATTGCCCCGCCGCGTGGACAGGCCGGCCGGGCGAGGCGTGGAAGATGAAGACCTGTGCGACCGCAGCCGGGTGGAGGACTGTCCTGGCGCTGGTCCGGTGACAGCGGCGCTCGCTCCCCCGCGGGAGGCTGACGATTCCACCAGCCAGAGAGCCCTGCCCTCCACCGGCCTCCCGGGGACGGGTGGCGGCCACCTCCCGCCCTGCCCCACGCGGAGTGGACGCTGCCAGCAGCCGCGCCATGGTGCAGAATTTAATTGTGGTATTTTTCCGCAGACGGCTGAGCCAGAGACCCGCCGTGGAGGAGCTGGAGAGGAGAAACATCCTGAAACGTGAGTGGCCCGCTCTCCAGGGGCTCCCCACACGCACGCACTGCACACACACACACACACACACACGCACGCACACACGCAGGCACGCACAAGTGTGCTTGGCAGCTGTGAAGGCTGGGCTTCTACAGGTTCTCCGGGCAGCAGGTAGTCCTCAAGGATGGAGGGATGGAGCGGTCCCTTCTCAGAGGAAAACTCTCAGGGAAACTCGCTCTCCTCCTAGCAAGCTGAAGAGATGAGCCTGGGGGAGTCGGTGGGGTGGCCAGCCTGGGGCTCCCAGGGGAGGGAGCTGGTCCCTTCTGGGTGTCAGGTCCGGGCTGCCCGGGCTGGAGATGTGCCGAGGCCGGGGCAGAAACCCCCAGGGCTGGATGGGGGTCTTGGTTGACCCTAGGAAGGCACAGGAGGAGCGGGAGGAAGGACTTGCTCTGGCTCAGCGCCTGGAGATCCAGGCCCCTGTGGACGCCACGGCTGAGGGTCCACCGCTAGGTAACACAGCCTGTGCTCAAACCCGCCTGCAGCCCTTCCATTGGCCACGGAGGACGGGGAGGGAGCCGCAGAGACCCCTTCAGAAGGGATCTTTAGGTAGCTCTTCACCTGTTAGCAGCTTTGAGTTGTTTTTTAATATCTTCCATAAGCAAAGCTCCTGTGGCTCACACCTGTCATTCTAGCTACAGAGGAGGAGGCTGTGATCTGAGGATCGCAGTTGGAAGCCAGCCTGGGCAGGAAAGTCTGTGAGACTCTTCTTATGAGCCAACAGAAAGCTGAAAGTGGAGGTGCGGCTCAAGTGGGAGAGCACCACTCTTGAACAAAAAAGCTAAGGGACAGGCCTGAGTTTGAGGTCCAGTATCAAGAGCATGACTTCTAAAGTTGTTCCGTTTCTTTCTATGATGAAGGCTGCCGAGATCTTCGGGGTTTTGCTGTATGTGTGTAAGCCTCTTTCCACGAGGTTGTAGCTATACCAGGGCTGTGCGGATACCATTAGAAAACAGACAAGCCCTGAGCCGGGTTCCCTGCCTTCAGACACCCCCCCCCACCCCCAGTGCTCTCCGTGCAGCGTGGAAAATACTTAGCCCTAAAAATGACAAATACAACATGGTGAGTGCTGTGTTCGCGGGCTGTGTGTGAGGGTTTAAGGCAAACCTCCGGCTGATAACCTGCTCGGCCAAGCTGCTGGTTACCAAGTGGTTGAATTTTTAAATTACAAAGCCATGTACAGAAAATTAAATCTTAGCAGCACTGCTGGCATTTCAGAGCCGGGGTCTAGACCCAGACTGAGGCATTGCACCGCCTTTGGGGACCTGGTGCCGAACCAGCTGGAGGCAGGAAACGCCGGCGTTAACCAGAAACAGTGTCCCCCTTCAGCTCTGGTCTCCCCTCCAGTCCCGGCAGCCGGCCCCTCCTACCTGCCAGGGCTGCTCGTTGTGTTCATCCTTGCAAATAAGTATCCACGCCTTAAAAACAGCACTGTCTAGGAGCGAGCTAGAAGCGAGTGCACTCACCTTCAGCATGCGAGAGGAGAAGGGCTCTGCTCTGCGTCATCCACCGCCACCGTCCTTGTTCCGGAGCCCTCCTCGGGGGCCCTGGGTGGGTGGACGCCACGGCCCAGGTTTCGCTGTGCGGCCTGGGGTGGGTGCTTCACTTGTTCTGTGCAGATGAGGACAGAGTAGCCATGTGTGACCCAGACCCTTGACACACGGATGTCAGACCTTCACACTACGGTTTGGTGTGTAATCAAATCCTCGAATAGCATCGCATGGTGTTCTCCTCTCTTCACGTGGGACCTGTGACTAAGTGCAGTCACATTGAGAGGCTCTGAGCACTGCCTGTGTACTTGCGGGCACAGGGGCACCTTTCTGTGGTGCTAATAATAGCAGCTCCTCAATAGGCCCAGTCTGTGCCAGCGTGCTACCCCCCCCCCCCGCTCAGTACGCATCCCCATTTACTCCGTGAGGCTGGCACCACAGCTCCAAGTTGACTAGTGGAGCAGGCAGGTCTCCAGGAAGGAACAGGACATCTTCACAAATGGCTGTTGGCATGAGGAAAGGCTAGAGCTCTGCCTGGCTCCATTGCTAGCCTTACATGCAGCCACACGCACTTAAAAGTCTGGAGAAGACAGGAGAGAGCTGTCCGGGGACCGGGGTTATTCGCAGAGTCTCTGCATCTAGCAGTTCTTGTTAGGGAGCCCTGCTTGGTGGAAGGCACGGGGTTTGCTGGGGAGGGGAATGAGGGCCACAGACATATCGCTGAGGGCCGTGCAGAGGGAGAGGTCTTGGGCGGAGGCCCAGAGAGGACTTCTCAAGCAGGTGTTTTGACAGACATTTGCAAAGATCAGCTTTCTAGCCCCTCTGCGGAGCTCAGATGCTGGCTAACAATATTTTCAATTAGGAAAAAAAAAAGATGCATTTTCACTTGTTTCTCTCCCAGGGAGGTCTCGCTTGGGCTTTGTCTGTGGCCTGTTTTAAAGAAATTTGAAGAATTACTTTCATATCATCACGTAAAGCCCCCCTGGCCAGCTTTATGCTTACATCCCCCCTCGATTGTATTGTTTCTAATGATAGCTTACAACTGTGGTTTGTTCCAGTTTGTCCATTGGCTTAAGAACTAAGCACATAGCATGATTTTATTTCCTTTCCTAAAATGTTTTAATCCAAGATGACTTTAAAAAATTACCGAAAAATCGATCTACTGTCATAGGAAGCATCTACATACCCAGTCTCCCAAATACAGGGAGATTTGAGACATACTATTTAAGGGCAGATAATGTGAAATAATCTCAACTGCAATAGTAAGATTCCCTTTCCAGAACCTGAGCTCTCTTTTCTTAGGAATGGAGCGCTGCCCAGCCAGGGACCCAGGGGTTGGACCCAGAGCATGCCTGGATTCCACATCTCAGTACTCTGCTCTATCTTTAGTTTCCGACTGTAGGTGGTAAGCAGAGTTTTGAGGTTAATAGTCACAACTCACCAAGCAAAGCCAATTCAGTGATGGATCTGGGCTCCTTTACAAGGTGTAATAAGAAAAAAAATACTAGAGGCAGCTAGTTTAATGGATGTGTTTGAAACATCCTTGAAAGTATAAATTCCAGAAAGCACAGGTTGCCTAGAGTCTGAAGGCCAGTCTCTCATACCCTGTGCAGATGACCTGAGAGTTGTGCACAGCTGTAAAAAGAAGGGGGGTACAGAAAACAAACCGTGAGAGTGCTATTTGTATTCAACTGTGCACATGCACATCCATTCTGTAGATGTTTCGTGTGTCATTCTGTGCTCGTAGATGTGCAAATACTGTGATGTTTGGGTAAGACTTGGATGTAGCTCAGTGATGGAATGCTGGCCAGCAGGTGAGTGGCCCTAAGTTAGGTCCCCAGCACTGAATCAAAAGATGTTTGGATAGAATGGAGGCCAACAGACACACAGAGACAGAGACAAACAACAGCAGTACCTGGAGCTGGTCCTTACATAGCCCAGGGAGGGAGACCAGGGCTGAGATGATTCTATGTGGCCGTCAGGCCATGAGCTCCTGACTATGAGGGGAGACGTAGAAAGACCAAGCACAAAAACTGACATGGAAAAGAGGTGTGAGCCACAGCCGTCCTTCTTCCCCTCCCTCTCTGCCAGGAGGAGGGAGACCCTGAGAACACATCTCTCTATTTTACAACAAGGTCCAAACTGTCTCGTTTCCCCAATCTCTCACAGAAAGGAATGATCAGACAGAGCAAGAAGAAAGGCGAGAAATCAAGCAAAGACTAACAAGAAAGGTAAGCTTGAAACATTTTATTTCATCATAAAAAGGCGACTAGAAGTCAGGTGGATTGGAGCAGTGGGGTGGGTAATACCCGGCTGGGCCTGGTGATTCTGATCGGGAATGATTTATTGGGCCACAGGGCATCAGTTAAGTTGGTCTACTTGGCCATCGTGATTTAAGTTGATAAAACTCCTCCCCCCGCCCCTCCCAAAAAGTGCCTTTGCCACATTCCAGCGTCAGGCGATGTTTTCATTTACTTGACAGTTTTCTTAATTTGCCCAGTGTTTTAGTTACTTCTTAGTTTTATCAATTTTATAGCTACCATGATCAGCATTGCAATTATATGTGATTCAAATAGTTAAAATTCACTGTGCCCAATATAGATAACTCTAGATAACGTCTTTAAAATCCTGATCGTTCCAGGTTCAATGTTTGTGTGTTTCCCTTTCTCCCCTGGGCCTCATGATAATTCTTGGTGCTTGAAGCTAAAATTCCCTCCTGAGCTTGGTGGGAAGTATTTTGTTAATTTTAAGAAGTCTGCATTTAATGGTACTTGAAATTGCCAACACCCTAAGTTGCATTCTGAGCAGATCCGCCAGCCATCCCTGGGTCCTGCATCCCGGGGGGTAACCCTCTGGTGGAATGTGTGAGAGGAGAGGGTGGTGACTTGCAAATGTACTATTTAAATTCTGCACAGTGGAGATGGTTTTAGTAAGGTTTCACAGTTCGTGTTGTTTATGGAGATAATGCTGTTTCTCTGGAGTACTTGAAGAAAGTCAGCTTGGCATTGATATCTACCTACAATGATCTTTTATTTTAGCTTAACCAGAGGCCCACTGTTGATGAACTAAGAGACAGAAAAATCCTGATACGTTTCAGCGATTATGTGGAAGTAGCAAAAGCCCAGGACTATGACAGGAGGGCAGACAAGCCCTGGACGCGGCTGTCAGCAGCAGATAAGGTACGGAGTGTCTGTGCTGGTTGGGGCGGGGTAAACAGGTGAGCCAGCAGCTACGGAAACCCAGGCTGTGGGAGAGTTTACTCCAGGCCCCCCTCAGTCATGTCTGGAGATACTGCATCCAGTGAGCAGAGGAAGGGATGGTGCTAAACACTTGAGTGTACAGAACACCCCCCAGGACCACTGCCTCATCTCAAATGTCCAAAAGGTATAAACTGCTGAGAGCTGGCGGCTTTTACCTTAATCAACCCTTGCTCCTCAGGAGGATCACAGTTTGAAGCCAGCCCATGAAGAACAGTGTGTAAGACTCCATCTCCAATTAACCAACAAAAAGCTAGGTTGGAGGTGTTTTTCAAGTAGTAGAACACCAGCTATGAGCAAGCAAGCCAAGCAAGATTTAAGGCTGAGTTCAAGCCCTGGAACTGACTTTTTTTTTTGATGGTTGTGGGGCTTGAACTCTGGGCCTGGGTGCTGTCCCTGAGCTCTTCAGCTCAAGGCTAGAGCCACAGCACCACTTCAGTTTTCTGGTGGTTAATTGGAGATAAGAGTCTCATGGATGTTCCTGCCCTGGCTGGCTTTGAACTGTGATCCTCAGATGTCAGCTTCCTGAGTAGCTAGGATTACAGGTGTGAGCCACCAGTGCCCGGCTGATTTATTTAATGTGTAAACTAGGGAATGTTGGTGGTGTGGGGGATAATCAAAGGTAGGTTAGGCTGGCAAAAATCAGATGACAGATTTAAACAACTTGCAGTGAGGTCAAAGGGACGGAGTTCATTCTAGAGTCTTTCAGGAAGGTTCTCGACACTGTCTTGGAGTGGTGGGTTTGGGATGTCTCTGGGAGCCTCCGCAGCATGAGGAGGCAGGAGGAAGGCAGCGCGTCCCAGCAGCTCTGAACAGTGAGGGCCAGTGCTGGTCCCCAGCAGGATTTAAAACCATGAGCACCCAATGCTCCCAAAGCTTCGAGGCTGTCAGAAAAGCATCACATGTCCTGTCAATGAGTCCGATCCTTGGCTTTCGTTCTGTATGCAGTGAATAGGTGCATGTTCAATGCTCATAAGTCTTGCCTCAACTTGGAGAAATGCTGACATGTCCAAGTTGAACCAGTTCTTGTTTAATGCTGCTGTGTTCAGAGAGGAGAAGAGCACCTTTGGCAGCCGGTGTACTTGAATGTGGGACAGAGTGCTCCCTCTGCAGGGGCTGGCTGGGCGCTCCTCTCTTTCCTGGTCCTGGAGGGTTTATCATGGTCCATGAGGGTCGTGGGTGGGCAGGCCAGTGACCTGCGATGCCCACTTGCCCGTGTCATGACAATTAAAATACTACAATACTGTCCCAGTGGCACAGCACATAGCAGGTGTTGAAGTGAGAACCACTTCTTCCTGGATTATCTGATTGCGGAGATGACAGTTCTCCAGACGCTGGCCTTGATTCACTGCTTACTCTTCTTGCTTCATTAGTGCACAGGCTTAGGAGAGAAGGGCCTAGCAAATTAATTCACTAAATGGCTACATACAGATTGTTAGGACTATAAAGAAAGAAGCTGAGCCACTTGACGGTGGCTCACACCTGTAATCCTGGCTGCTCAGGAGGCTGAGATCTGAAGATTGAGGTTCAGAGCCAGACAGGGCAGGAAAATCCATGAGACTCTGATCTGCAGTTAACCCAGAAAATCAGAAGTGGAGCTGTGGCTCAAAGTGGTAGATGCGAGCCTTGAGCAAAAGAGTTCAAGGACAGCACCCATGACAGACCAAAAAAAGAAAAGAAAGAAAAGGCAGCTGAACAAACGTTTTCTTTCATGAAAGAGTCAGCAAGTATGGTTAACCAACAAACCTGATAAGTAGTTTCCTGTGTTAACTTTTGAACAACCTGAAAAGCAATGTCCTGCTTTTAATTCTAGGCAGCAATTCGTAAAGAATTAAATGAATACAAAAGTAATGAAATGGAGGTACATGCATCAAGCAAGCATTTGACAAGGTGAGATTTTTTTTGTGTTTATATGACTTTCATACTTACATTAAAGAAACCACTCACCAGCCACAATGGACTTTGTGTCCAGCTAAACACATTGAGCATCTCTGCAGAGAATTGTGTATCTCAATTAAAAATTCCATCTGCTCCCATGTTTATTTTTTGATAAAGCATGATAAACCATGGTTTGTAGAATATTGGACAAGTCATTCAGTCATTCAAGAAAGTCTCAAAAAATGAAAATTTCTGTACATTGAATTCATCTCTAATATTGTTTTCCAATTTGCAGAATTTACCATTTTACATATGAATTGCTGAGAAATGTTTTCCCATCTTCTATTCACCCTTTGTATCATATTTAAATTTATACTCCCATCTTTAATGATAGTGATCCTCTCCCAAGGCCAAAATACTGTTTCCTCTCCAGAAAATACCCAAGTGCCTCCCGTGCACAGGCACTTCTGTAGGAGCTGGGATGTGCAAGGAGGCCCCGGCTCCATGGAGGCCAGGCTCTGCTGGGATTCTTTTCTCCTTGTAAATGTATTCTCGGGGTGCTGAGCGCCTTGGTGTGGATGAGGGCAAGCCCAGTGTCCCGATCTCTACCTGCCGTACTGATTGCACTCAGTAGCAGTTATCTTACACTCCTATCGCCTTTCCTTGATGGAGACACAGGGAGCGCAAGCACGCGCGCGCGCACACACAACCACCACCACTACCAGCACACCCACCACTACCAGCACACCCACCACCACCAGCACACCCACCACCACCACACCCACCACCACACCACACCACACCACCACACGACCACACCACCACACCACACCACACACCACACCACCACACCACACCACCACCACACCACCACACCACCACCACACCACACCACCACACCAC